ACACACACACACACACACACACACACACACACACACACACACTTCTTTTACACGTATTCGGTTTTTCAACATTTATTATTTATTATGAACCGGTGAAAATTCGCAACAAATGCATACATACATTTCTAATACCGCGAAAGTTATATAGTCGACAATATAACAACTTCTACGCGCGCCTAGCGATATATTATATTTTACAAACGTATGAATATATATATTGACCAATATAACGAAAGCTATAGTTGATGCTGTCAGAAATTCCATGTGCTGATACGTAACATAAACGGATGCATACATAAATTCCTAATGGCAACAGCAGTTGATGTGCTGTCAGAAATTCCATATGCGCGCAAGCTGATATGTAACATAACCAGACCAGGTCCAGATGCATACATAAATTCCTAATGACGACAGCTATCTTCTATACTCGACAACGTATCACGACTATGTAGGCCTACGTACGTACGAATACTGCTATGTGAAGCACGATTGTTGCTGATATACAACATAACCTAATTTGATATACAACATAACCTAATACTCTCAAGGTTTTAGGAAAATTTTTACCGATTTTTCATTTTTAACTTTATTCGATGGTTAACACTATTTGCCATAACACTAACACTACTGTGTATATGCTCATTTCTCCATATAACGGTACATGTGAACTGTCAGAGCGTTTTGCTTGCCCGCGTACATGTGTAGTGAGCCGCAGCTGACTTGTAGTGAGCTGTCAGAAAAACGCTGATTTCTCCGTTCCAATTTTTGACTTAGTAGTCGATGTATAAATGAATATTTCTCTGCGATTACAACTCGGAATAAATTAATTATTTTACACTCGTTTTAATGGTAACATATTGCTGCAAAAAAGCGCGTCAGGGATTGTTATTAAGTACCGTATTTTATGAGTTATGTCTCTTTATTCGCAAACAAATTTAAATTCAAACGTGCGACTTGAATTTTAGGCAGTTTTTTTAATTTTTCTCGGTAAATATGAAACTTAAAGAAAAATCCTCATGAGTTATTTTGGTATTGTGCTTAACATGTGGCGAAAATTTTGTATCCTCGCTCTTTCTGGTAATTGAGAAATATCCCAAATACCATTTATACATAAAAATTCAAAATTTTTGTGGTAACATAATTAGGTGCTGGAAATTTCATGAATTTGTTTGCCTTGAGCATAGGGATATATCTCCTCTATAAATAAAACAAGTGATTGATTCGATTTATTCGTCAATAAACGTTTAATCTTCATTAGAGCAATACCCGTGCAAACGGTTGAGAGTATGCCTTAAAATGCCTCGACTCTGGAGCACTGCATGGCAAAGAACAAGTCCGCACCTGCAGCTACAGCGCAGCGACACAATCTTATTGAGCTATATACTATATAAACGAATCATATATATATATAGATCTATCAATAATATATGAAATAGTTATATATAATATATATCAAATAGTTATATATATATAATCATATATATCATATATAATACATTCAATTAGTTGTATATATAAGTCATTGCA